CGCGATGCGGGAAGGTCGCCGGGTTCTGCGGTGGGACGACGGGGGGCTGGGCTTCGCCGCTCCCTGCGCGGGCGCGCGCCGAGGGGCTACTCCCCGCTGGGCGAGCTGCTCCGCGACTTCCCCCCGCCTCCCGGTCAGTGGGTGGAAAAGTTTGTAGAGGCCGGAGTGAGAAAGTGTCCCTGTTCTCGGGTGGGTATGCTCCAAGTGCAGAAATCGTAGATCCATGATGCTTGGCACGTAACCCGTCCGGAATGAGATGTCTCTTTACCTGTGTGCCCGTCGTTAAAGAGCAAACACAAACTTTTCGCGTAGCTCCCTCGGAAAAGCTGCCACCTCCCCAGCCCACCCATGGCGGATGAAATTGATTTCACTACTGGAGATGCCGGGGCTTCCAGCACATACCCTATGCAGTGCTCGGCCCTGCGCAAAAACGGCTTCGTGGTGCTCAAAGGACGACCGTGCAAAATAGTAGAGATGTCAACTTCCAAAACTGGAAAGCACGGCCATGCCAAGGTAAGTGCCCTTCCAGGTCTGTCTGTGCGTTGAGATTTTGATCGTTTGTATTACATTACAGCACTTGAGACTTGTAACTTTGTAATAAGCACTTTTTTTTTCTTCCCACAATGACTGGGAGATCTGCTGTTACTTTGAATGCTGAAAGGTCGCATTTCCTTCTTGGGCCCTTATAATATTTCATTAATTGGGAATTGAAACTTTCCTGAGTCCTAGTGACTTAGAAGATCTGTTCAGTTTACAGATTAGAAAACCTAACATAATTCTAAAACCTAACTTCATATGCCCTCTTATCACTTAGTTACCGGTCTGTATATGATTTGGGTCTTGATATATCATGATGCCCTTTAGTTGTTCACTGCTTCTCAATTCTATGACCACTATCCTTTTTTAAAGAAAGTAAAATTAGATGACCTTGGAAGGAGAATCTATCATAATCAGAGTCGATATTGTGCTTTTGTGTATGTAATGAGTGATATACTTGGCAAAGTTTAAACAGGTTTTCTGTTCTCCCTTCTCTGTTAGGTTCACCTTGTTGGAATTGATATTTTCACCGGTAAAAAATATGAAGATATTTGCCCTTCTACTCACAACATGGATGTTCCAAATATTAAGAGAAATGATTATCAAGTAAGTCCTAATTTCCTTTAGAATGCCGCTTGTTTCTTAAAGATGTGAATACTTTCTGCTACCAATTGTAATTTAACAAAAACCAGGAGTAGTTTTGTAGGTTTTTCTAACCAATTATTAGGCACCACTTATCTTAGAAATCGGAGAGATAGTGACATTTAACAGTTGTACCTTATCTAGGATTATTGCTAGTTTGCTCTTTTAATATTCTTGCATATTTAAAAAGGTGAAGACTTCTCATTATTTCTCAGACTAGGTGACTGAATATTATGACTGAATAAGTTTAATTTTTAGTAAAATTACTGTTCTCTTTGTCGTAAAACATTTCAAATTTAGGTAACTCCCTCCCAAATGTCTTACTTCTTTTCACTTATCAGACCTAGGATTTTAGAGAAATTTTGGAATTCATGTTTCACCAACCAAGTTTGTGTATTAACGAAATGTGAGTCAGAATGTGGTATTCTTAAATAGGGAAAAGAGTTGAAATCCTTAAATGTAAAGGATCAAATACATGGTCACTGAATATTGTAAAGAAAATAGAAAAAATATGTAATTGTTTTATTTATACTCAGTGACCATGCTGTGACCTTTTGTTAAATTATAGGTATAAACTTCACATTTTAGTTTCAATTATACATTTGGATAGGTCATGTTTAATGATAGCATTTTGTTGTTTGGAGTATTGCTAGTAACCAAACCATTGACCTCATAGTATGTGGGAGCTCAGGTTAATCATAACTAAAGTCTTTCTTGAAAGTCTTAAATTTCTGTATCAAGCATACCATATATAGAAGTCTTTTCTGTTCATTTTACATAGTGAGAGATACAAGTGTGACACTTAGATTTGTTTTATCCAGTTTAAACTGATTTCTTTCTATACCTTTTATTGTATTGCATAATTTTGAAAGAATGTTACCATCAACTGCTGTTACCCCAATGATTTCCTTTTACTCTTTGTCCACATGTAAACATATTGTACATGGTTTGAATCTAGTAAGCGGTTTTATATTTACACTTCCCCGTTTATCATAAATGTTTTCGAGGTAGCTTCAGACTGTAGAATTTTGAAACGTCTTAGTATAATAATAGCAAGTGTGTTTTTTTTTTGTTGTTCCTCTGTTTTTGTAGTCAGGTAGGTCTCAATTTGGATCCAGTTCTGCTTTCTAGCTGGATGACCTTGGATAAATTATGAAACCTCTCTGAGCCTTAGTCTTTCCATCTTCAAAAGAGGGTAAAATGAGGGTTAAATTAAAAATTGCACCCCATAGTCACCTCCTAAGTAGATATACACCAAAAAGTGGTTCTTTTCTGCTCCCCCTTTTCCTGCATGAAAATTTCACTCATTCATTCCATTATTCTTAAAGCACCTAATTTAGACATGGCATATAGTAGGTGCTCAGTAAACATTTGTTAAATGCATATCTAATTATCCATTGAGGTGAGGATAGTGCAGCCGACTAAGGTTAAGCGTAGAATTTTGCCAAAAGTGAATTTCAGTTTGCACCCTTAACATGTGAATGCTTAGATTACTTGATACTCATTATATTCATTAATATGTATTCAACATAGAAGGCTTTTGCCTTTGAGTGTTTCAGAAAGATGGCATCAGTAGTTCAGATAATTACTACTGTGATCAAATTAGCCAATCATTGACTGGAACTCAAGATTTAACATAAAGGAAAAAATTGGGTGTGGGTTTATTTTGGGCTATAACGGCCCAGGCAAGGGTGAGGAGAATGAGAGTGAGTCCCTTGCCTAGAGCACATTTAAATAAAGATGGAACAAACAACTGTGCCAAGCCACATAGGAGCCTAAGGCAAAAGGAAAAATCAGTAATTCTGATTCTGTCTTTTAAAAAAACCTTGATATTTTGTTCATCATGGAATATTTTGCCTTATTTCTAATTTTTAAAAACACCTCATTAAAATATTGATCTGATCACTGATATTTCTTTTTGTCACCACCTTAAATTTTGCACCCAAGACAGGTGCCTCACTTGCCTTATCTAGTCCCAGCCTTTGGTGGGTAGCTTGGTTAAGAGAATGACTGCAGGGTGGGTAAGAGAATGACTCAAGCCCCACAAATCCTTGCTTTGGCACTTACTGTGTGACATCGGTTGTCAAGTTATTTAACCTCTTGCCTTCCTTTCTTTATTTATTAAATGAGGATAATGATAATGAACTTCTCATGGGATCGTTGTAAAGCTTAATTAGTCAATACTTAGAATAGTGCCTTGCAGAATAAGTACTTAGTGATCACATCTTTATCAGGTCAACCGTAGAATACTGATTTCTGTTCCATTTTTTAAAAATTAGCTCTATGAGCCTTTCCAATTATAGCTATTGTGCTATCCAAGTGTCTTGATTAAATTTCTACTTTTCTTATTTGGCTACATGTAGTCCTTTTTATCTGCTTTATTTGGTATTTCAAGTGCCTATTTGGCAGTCAGCTAAAGTGAATATACACACACACACACACACACACACACACACATATATATATATATATACGTTCATTATAATAATTAAAAAGTAAATCTTTGTTTAGGAAAAGAAACATTAATATTTATAATTTTAACTTTATATATTTTAAAATAAGTTCAGAATGAAAGAAAAATTGTCTCCTGACTTTCATTGCAAAATGTAGTTAAGATTAGAATTCCTAATTTCCGTTACTCCCTAGCAGTCACTGAAGACAGTCAATCAAATGTTTTTTTCACTCTGAACTTTAAACATATTTGTATTTCATTTCATTGTAGTTATCAGTTCTCAAATTATCCTATCTTTGGCCAGGGAGAACTTATCAGGCAGGCTTCTGAGCTCCTTGAATATGCCTAGTGGTCTTTGATAGCACCATGCTTTCTAGTGTAACAGCTGGCTGCAGGCTCATCTTCTATACTTCCTGCTCTGAACCTGGAATTACTCATTTACCAAAGGAACCCTATGGAGAGAAATGGCACCTATGGGAGAAATAGCACCATGCATTGGATTCTTTCAGTAGGAAAAAGAAACACACATACTTCTACCAGTATTTTTGGGACATAGTATATTTCATTTGTTAGTCAGAAACTTGATAGACCACTGCAAGCCTAACACCTCTATTACTAGTTTTCTGACCCTGTCCTCTCCCATTGCCCTGCTTGCTAATAACAAATGATTACATACTCTCTCTACCCGCCCCCCCCAAAAAAAAGTTGTTCAAAGTCATCTTAAATTTATCCAATGAGTAGATTTGTTTAAAGATGAAGGATCAGAAGGAAATATTTATAATTGACTTATAACTGTATCCTCACCATCCTTCCTCCCAACTCTGTAGAGTCAGAGAGGGCTTCGAGAAGAGATGGAAAAAGTTGCACAAAAATATGCTTAAAACTCAATGACACCCTTAGCTTTTTTTTTTTTTTTTTT